AAGAACCCAGAAACAAATAGCAAGTTCTACACGAGATCCTCTACCTACAAAATTCAGTGTTTCTTTCCTGAAGTCTTGAGCTGTCCATATGCACATATTGCTGCTTCTGAATTACAAGCTGATTACATATAAAATCATTCTGTAGGAAAAAAATGGTGACATTTTATGATGTTAAATTAGAAAGGCTAAACTGAGGGTATATATAAAAGTTCTCTAGAATAAGTTGTCATTGTATATATATTCTGCCCAACTTATGAATATAAAAATCCAGCACTGCTAAAGAACAAGGGGGCGTGCCAGGAATGCACAGTGGGTACAGGAAGATCAGAGAGCTGTGCATGTCATTTAGGAGGGCTGTGAGGAGGAATGACCTGCTCCAGGCCTCCTGGACTGAAGAGGTGCCAGTGTGTGCCAACTGTCCCCTAGCAACTCTATTCTGCTCACCCCCATTATTCCCCCACCAAATCAGTTAGGGTTATTTGTAATCCATTATTCCATGCAAATGCAGATGTCAAGGAGAAGGGGAGAAACTGGTTACTTTATGAAGACTTGTAATTTATGGAAATAATTTTGAAATTAATCATAAACTCGTAAAAAAATATGTCCACATCATATATAATTATATTCCACGTTATGTAAACCAGAAATAAATCTATCTCTATATTATCAAGAAACATAATATTTAACTCATTAAAAAATAATCAAAATCAACACCCAAAGACAGACTAGTTCTATTTTAAAATTATCCAATTTATACTTAAAATGTAATTCTAAACTTATACTTAAAACAAAAATATTCCCTATAGTAAAAAATAAATGTTTACTTTATATCTAAAATTATAATGTATTCCAATAAACAGATACTTTAGGAATAATACAATATCAAATATCTAAAAATCATTTATGATAGAAAAGTAAAAGAAAATCAAAAGAATGTGCTAGAAATCTTTTCAGCACAGCTTAGGAGCAAACTAATGACTACAGATAACGAGCAAAACTGCCATGGAAAGCTGCTGCTGTTGTCATTAAGGCAGACTTGTATTTTGCTTTTGTCCATGATTATATTTTAACATTTTCAACTAAAATATTGTCACTCATAAAAATTAATTTTAATTTAAGTCCAAACAAACAAATGTCAAGAGGACACAAAGTCAACTGTGTTTTCATGTTTTTATTTGGTGTGAAACATCTTAGAACCATATTTTAGGTAATTAAAGCCTCTATGTTAGGTAAGTAAAAGGCAGTCTTTACCAGCATGATTTAATAAGGACAACTTGGTTACCTGCATAAAGATTTTTATTCAAAATCTTTTCACATTTGTAGATCACGTTGCAGAAGATTTACCTTCCAAATGGCATTCTATTTGGTCTCTTATTGACTGAAGGTTAAATAAATTGCTGTTACTTGAGCAATTTTCATTCTCTGGCACAAAGAGCCAAAAAATTATACATGTCACAACAAAATCTACAGGTCACATGTGAAATCGAATCTTTCTTTATGTGAAAATTCCTTTCTAAAGAAAGTATAAGAAAACACTGACACCAAGCCTGTTGATTAAAGGGGGTCTATTATAACTAAAACATTAAGTTAAGTTAGCTTGGCACATAATTAGCAGGTAAGGATATTCTCTTATTATCTAGTCAATGATAAACAGTGAATAAACCAGTTTCTGGCTATAAAGATATTTACTTTTCCTTTTGTACACATATATCAAAAAATATACTATGAGACTAAATCAAGTTCCTAAATTCAGGGGGGAAAATAATCAAATTTTAAATGTTTCACCTTCAATATATGATCATATAAAAAAACAAATTCTCAAAAATGTTTCTCTACTAGCAAAGGGAAAAGGTCAACATCCTATTTCATACCTATCTTTTCTTTCATATACATTTTTTAAAAAGCTAAACCCAACAATAAATGCTCCAAGAGAAATTAAAACAAGAATTATACTTCAGCAACCCTAATTTCAACAAAAATAAAAGTGTTTTTCACAGAAACTTTAGAAAAACACCTGGCAAACATAAGCTCATTAGATGCAACAGCCTTGAATGCCAACATTCTTTAAACTAATTTCATGCCGGAGACATAAACCAAGAGAGATAAAATTACTAAATAATTCATTTATGTTGAAAAATGTGCTTTGGTGCAAGGAACAACACTCAACCAACTGGAACTGGAGAACATTATGCTAAGTGAAATAAGCCAGTCAGAGAAAGACAAGGACCACATGATCTCACTCATTTGTGAAATTTAATGAGCAAACTGAACTACCAAGGAAATAGAGACAGACTCATAGATAGAGAGCAGGCATACACTGCGGGGGGAGGGCAGGAGGGACTCGAAGGCAGAGTGGAGGGATTGAGCAAAAAAGAAAAAAAGAGAGAGAACTCATGGGCATGGACAACAGTGTGGGGCTTGCAGGGTGACATGATCTCACTCATTTGTGAAATTTAATGAGCAAACTGAACTACCAAGGAAATAGAGACAGACTCATAGATAGAGAGCAGGCATACACTGCGGGGGGAGGGCAGGAGGGACTCGAAGGCAGAGTGGAGGGATTGAGCAAAAAAGAAAAAAAGAGAGAGAACTCATGGACATGGACAACAGTGTGGGGATTGCAGGGTCGGGGGTGTGGAGGTGGAAGAGGACATAGAAGGGATAAATGGTGATGGAAAAAATAAAATAGAAAAGGAAAATGTGGCTCGGGTTGAAGCGAAAAAAGTGGGGAAACCCAGTGGGTTATTCCATATTTTACTGACAGACTTGCAAGGATTTTCCTCCTGCTGAACAGATAAAAACTACTTTGAGTGCCTTCTGCTGATCCCATTCTTTCTGCATTGAGGTTATGAACAAAGTAAAAATGTTTTCAGCCCATCAAATGTTGCCAGCACTAGCTCTGAAATCTATCCTAAATCCATCTACTTCCTTACTTTTATAGCTGTGGTCCAAGCTACTAACCATCTCTACTCTAGACCACAATGAGAACTTACTAAAACAGTCTTCTTCCTTTTACACTTACCCCTGTGCAATCCATTCTCCACAGAGTAGCCTAAACAATCTTTTTAAAACACAAATCAAACCTTGTCATTTCCCTGTTTTAAAAAATTTCTCAATGGCTTTCATCTTATCTTATAAGAGTCAAATGACAGCCTATGCAATTGGATGTCTGCCAAACTCTCCTTGCCCACTTTTTTCACGCTGGCCTCATTCCATTCTTCAAATTAGTGTTTCTCAACGTTGGCACCATCGGTACATTGGGCAAGACAGTTGTTCATTGTGGGAACTATCTGCATTGTAGGATGTTTAGCAGCATCCCTCGCCTCTACCCACTAGGTGCCTGTAGCACCATCACCCCCAGTTGTCACATAACAATATGTTTCCAGACATTTCTTTTAAAGAAGCCAAGCTCAATCCTGCTTCCTGGTCTTTTACCCTCTCATTCCCTCTATGTGAAATAATTATCCCCAATACTTAAGCTCTATGACTGGTTCCTTTCATTCTTATCTCAACTTAGCTGTGCTTGTCTACTCAGAGAGGCCATCTCTAATCATCCTACATAAAGTTGTGCCCACTTCCATCATAGCTACAGCCCAACACTTAATAGAGTACAGAGTAAGTGCTCAAAACATAGTCACTGAGAAAATACATAAATGTCAGTATTTATGAGAAAATGCTTAAGTGGTAAGATGATAATAGTTATGTATAATGCCACAACAGCACCTGGATATTCTCCTATACTGTATTTGCTTCATCTTTCAAATGTATACTAGTACAGTGGGGCCTTGACTTACGAGTGTCCCGACTAACAAGTTTTTCGAGATACGAGCCGTCTCTTGGCCGATTTTTTGCTTTGAGTTGCGAGCTAAAATTCGGGTTATGAGCCAGCTTCAGATACCCTACCGCTAGTTGGCGCAGCGAACATCACAGTGAACGCCACAACATCAGCCCAGCATCACGTGTCTCACTCGTTCCCTTTAAAATTTGACATACGAGTAATTTGAGTTACGAGCTCCGTCACGGAACGAATTAAACTCGTAAGTCAAGGCCCCACTGTACATCCTAATGCACCATTAATTCTTTCTGGTAATATTATTGTCAGTTATAGGGAATGTACATTTGCTCATTGTGCATTAACAAAAATAGTCCAAGGCCAGAGCATGCTTCCACAGAGTGGGAACAGAGAGGCATTTGAACTGTTCAGAAGATGTTATGCTGCTGAAAGCACTGAACATCCAACTTCCGGCTAAAAATAGCCATGACAAAGGATCCTGGTTTATTCCATCATGTATACAAATGGCTCACCATTTTTATCTAAGCAGTCACTCTTTCATTTATCTTGTTTTAAGTGGACACACAAAGGTCAATACTTTCGATTTTTTTTTTTAATGACAGAAAAACATTACTTCAGTTATTTCAAAAGCAAACAGCTATAATGAATAAAAAGGAAATGTGAGAGTTAAATCTTAATCACTTTGGTTTTCGTGTGAACTGGTAAAATCCAGTCAGGTGAACCCTATGCTGAGTAATTAAACCTGGCAAAATTGTAGTCTCTGATCAGAATAGTTCAACTGGATTTCATTAATTCCATAAAGGTTGGTTCACTCATGTCACAGGGGGCCTTTTATTACTTCTGGAGATGTGTTTGATATCAGCACTTTGAATACATATACATTTCTTCAGAAAATTAATACATTTTTTTAAAAATTATGTCATTGCTCTGAATTGCTAAGATATATTTCTAGATATTTAAAATAATAAACACACAATGCAGTGTACAGATGATGTGTTGTGGAACTGTGCACCTGACACCTGTATAATAATGTTAACCAGTTTCACCCCAATAAATTCAATAAAAAGGAAAAAAAATTTAAAAAAATTTTAAATATAAATATCACTGATTTTAAAAACTATCATTCATCAGAACAATTACATAAGAACTTCTGGACAAGTGAGACCTCGCAGACCAGTGTGTGAGTAGGAGGAGAACCGGCACATACCAGTTGTGCACCATGAGTTTCTGCACAGCCAGGAGAGCGTTGTAGCGAACCTGCTGGTCTTCGTGGTGCATGTGGTTCATCACCAGCTGCTTCCCACCAAGCTGCTCAATGACCCTGCGGAACAGAAGCCACTTTGTGAAGATACTGCAATTACTTTCAAACTCATGCTGTTAGTCAGCAGAAAGCCCAAATCCCTAGCAAAGTTACAATACACGTAAGTAAACCAACACATGCCTTTTTTCTATCATTTTCTCCAAATCATAGTTTTAAGGCATTCAAATATTTCTTTTGAATTTCTAAGAATAAATCTAATTGCTATTCTCCTTTCCCAATCCAGGCAAGTTTCACCTACCTGAATATCTCACATAATATTCCCGGTTATAGTTTTCTAGGTAGTTGAGTATCAACTTCTTTATTTTTAGTATTTCTGGCCTGCTTAAAATCAATATATTGAATATAATCTAATATCCATAATAATATCAATCAATATTAAGTTCACCAGTGGCTGTGCTGTGAGACAGATATGGGCTCAAGTACAGATTCCAGGGAACACAGAGTTAAAAGCACCCAGTAGAAGCCATGTTAATTTCCTGAAAAGGACTACTGATTTTTAAGATAACTGCTCTTTCTTGTAACAATGGGAATTACCACATGACCTCCTGGGCAATGAACCAGAGGAAGAAAATTCCTCTTGTCAAGAGCACCGTGATGACTGACAACCAGCATTGCTTTCTATCACTGCACCTGACACCCTAAAAACTCCAGTTACCACAGATGTAAAAGTGAAGTGAAAATGGTTATTTCCTTCATGAATGGAAAGAGATTCTCTGTTCCTCTGCAAGGACGTGGCTGTGGATAGAGCTGTGGAGTCTCTTAACTCCAGCACAACAGTGTGGATTCTCCAGTCTGTACTGCCTAGTGGGAGATATAACTATTACATAGCCAGTGACAAGTGACAGCAATAGGGCTTTGGTGGTTTAAGACAACCTCACAGACAGACGGATGGGGATCAAAGATGAGAGAGAGGCTTTTATGTTTATACCTTTTTATACCTTATTTTTTAAATCATCCTTTTTTAATGTATTGAATTGAGGGGGAAAAGTACGGTATAATTATTACCAAACATTAATTGAGTGCTTGTTATGTGCCAGGTACTGTGCTTTAAAACATTACTTTAATACGTATATCAGCTCTGCTCTCTATCAGATATGTTACATTAGGGAAGTCATTTAACCATGTAAATTCCTTCTTGCCACATGAGAATAACAAGAATGCCTCATTTATGGTGCTGCTGTGAAGACTAAGGGACATAAAGCCCATGTCTACTGCTATGAGGAGGAGGAGAAGGAGGAGGAGGAGAAGGATACAGGGGCTGCTCCCCTTCAATCCAGTCCAAGTGACCTTCCAAAAATCTGAATTATCACTTGTTCTGCATAAAACGCTGGCTGACAAGGCCCTTCACAGTCTGACTTGGAGCCTTCTCTCGCTTCATAGAGCCCGGGCCTACACCCTGGACTCTGTGCGCTGACTCCACTGGCCCCCTTTCGGGTCCTCCAGCCACAGAGTCTTGGCAAACGCTGTCTCACTCCTCTTCATGTAGTTTTCAACTAGAGGCATGGAAAGATTATCGTCACTGGATAAATTTTAAAGGGAATATGAGGAATAAACATGAAGTCATTAAGTCATTCTAAATTTTTTTAATCCTCATCCGAGGATATGTTTTTATTGATTTTTAGAGAGAGAGGTAGAGAAAGGGAGAGAGAGAGAACCAAAAATCTGAATTATCACTTGTTCTGCATAAAACGCTGGCTGACAAGGCCCTTCCCAGTCTGACATGGAGCCTTCTCTCGCTTCATAGAGCCCGGGCCTATACCCTGGACTCTGCGCACTGACTCCATTGGCCCCCTTTCGGGTCCTCCAGCCACAGAGTCTTGGCAAACGCTGTCTCACTCCTCTTCATGTAGTTTTCAACTAGAGGCATGGAAAGATTATCGTTACTGGATAAATTTTAAGGGGAATATGAGGAATAAATATAAAGTCATTAAGTCATTCTAAATTTTTTTAATCCTCACCCGAGGATATGTTTTTATTGATTTTTAGAGAGAGAGGTAGAGAAAGGGAGAGAGAGAGAAACATCTATCAGTTGCCTCCCCGTACACGCCTGACTAGGGATCGAACCCACGACCTGGGTATGTGCCCTGACCGGGAATCGAACCTTCGGTGCATAGGACAATGAACCAACTGAGCCACACTAGCCAGGGCCATAAAGTCATTCTTATTTCACCACAAACTGCTTATTCAACTGACCGTGTTCATGTGTTTGAGCTACTTTGAGGGGTTGGCAGGACTGGCTTCTTACCTTTCCTCTTTGCCTCAACACCCCTGTTTCCTCCTGCCCTTGCTTACTCCTCCAGGGTGGACCGCTGTAATTGGGGAGTTTGGAAAAAGGAATCCACATGCATAGATACACCCCCTCCTTTCTCTTCCATGTCAGTCCAGTGTTCCCTGGGATTAATGGGTTAGTCTAATACTGAGTTCAGTTTTAGGAAGGCCATCTGTGTATTGTACATATGCCATGTTTTTCAATATTGGCTTTATCAGTAAGATTTCTACTTTGGCCTCCATTTATTATCTCCTTTGACATGTTTCTCAAATAATTTAGAATTTAGGCAGGCAGGCAGGCAGGAGGGGCATTATTTATTGGGCCCCTTCTGGACACCTCCAACACATGGAGATACAGTTGATTCTCATTATCCAAAGTAGTTATATTCTACAGTCATCACTAACAATGATTTAGTTAATATTAAAATCCTAGAGGAAATCCAAGGTTAGGTTCCTCCAAGCCTCTGGTCACAACACTGCCATTAACCTATCAATACATAACCTTGTTTTATGTGTGTCTGTGTAAAGACAACTTACTTTATATATTATTAATTCATTAGCACTGAACTCATAGCCAACAGCACCATAACTCATGCCTGAAGGAAGCTTATCTAATACACATAGTTTCTCTGTAAGGCATATCACAGCCTTCTTCTGCTGAGGACTCTACACAGCACTTCAGCCCTCGGCTCAGAGCTAGTGAAACAGTGAAATCACCAACAAAGTGCACAAAAATACAAAAACCATGACACTAAACAGACCACATAAGGAATACTTGTTTACAGTACAAAGCTAAAAAAAGAAGGCAGAGTATCGCCTTGTTTGCCTTCAGCCGGGAATGTGTGAATCAGGTGACTCAAATTTTGCTCTGTACATGTCCACCAACAATTGTGAAAGCATGAAGTATTGATTTGGGGGTTAGAAAAGAAATTTTTAAAAAGTAGGCAAATTCACAAATCTAGAATTCATAAATAATGAGGATCAACTGTATATGAATAAGTATAATCTAAGAAAGGTACCATTTTAGTGAAATTAAAAAACACAGAGATCACACACCATTGATGACGATGATAGCAATTTTTTTACTTGTTGGGCATATGCAAAATGCTTCCTATATTTTCTCTCATGTAATCTTCACAACAAATGTACTGCCTATCCCTCTAGAAAGTCATGTTTTTTGACATTTTAAACCCTTGCCCCTTGTATCTGCTCATATTAACACCAGCCAAGAAAATTTTAAAAATTTGCTTTTAATAATTTATTACTATATTTATTTACTACACATTCATTTTCAAACTATACATATTACTGTCCTCCACCCAAGATTCCAGTGGGTATCAAAGAGGAATAAACAATCTCCATTCCACTGAAACACATTGCTATAAAAATAAAGACATTCCCCCTCTTCTAAATTTAAGATTCAAATGAACCACCAATTACTTTCAGATTATACAGATGTCCAAAATCATAAATGCTTGAAAAAGTGGTGAAAAAGAATCTTTCCAGTTGGCAGATTAAGACAAGATATCATTAAAAAGGCCAAATATTTAGATAATTTAATTTAGAGCAACATTCTAGTACTTTAATAGCCATTGCCTAATAGAAAAAACCTTGCTAAACATATTTCAAAACAAATCAAGTCAATAGCATGTTAAGCTTTAAAGACTTGTAATATTGTAATACACTATTAACAAGCTCAACACTGGTAATAACATTTAAAGAATGTACCAGCTGGTGAAACAGAGAAACGTAATTTTAGAGTAAATTTTTCAGATATTCTAAAAAGCACAGCACTAATTTTTTTTGTTCTAAACGTCTTTTTCCCTATAAATATGGTTCTATAATATGATACAAAGTATAGTTTGATATCAGGTAGGTAGCAAAATCTTGGCCATTTCTCATAGCAATATTTTTTCTGATACAGTGCCTTGGGCAAGGGAAGCAAAAGAAAAACAATTGAGACTACACCTAAAAAGTTTTGCACAACAAAGGAAACCATCAGCAAAATGAAAATAAACCCACTGAGGGGAGAACATATCTGCCAATGATACATCAGATAAGGGGTTAATATCCAAAATTTATAAAGAACTTATGCAAGTCAACACCAAAAGAAAAAAAAAAGATCCAATTAAAAAATGGGCAAAGGACCCGAATAGACACTTCTCCAAAGACGACATACACAAGGTCAAAAGACATACAAAAAAATGCTCAATGTCACTAATCATCAATGAAATGCAAATATTAAATACAATGAGATATCACCTCACACCTGTCAGAATGGTTATCATCAATAAATCAACAAACAACAGTGCTGGCAAGGATGTGCAGAAAAGGGAACCCTCGTGAACTACTGGGAATGCAGACTGTGCAGCCACTGTGGAAAACAATATGGAGTTTCCTCAAAAAATTAAAAATGGAAGTACATTTTAACCCAGCAATCCCACTTCTGGAAATATATCCTAAGAAAACTGAAACACCAATCAGAAAGAATATATGCGCCCCTATGTTCACTGAGCATTATTTATAACCAGAGGCCTGGTGCACGAAATTTGTGCCTGTGCCCTCTTGTGCCTGTGCACAGCCCGGCCTGTGCCCTCTTGCAGTCCAGGAGCCCTCAGGGGATGTCTGACTGATGGCGGGGAGCGGGTCTAAGCCGTCAGTTGGACATCTGTAGCACTGCCACGGAGGTGGGAGAGGCTCCCGCCACCGCTACTGCGCTTGCCAGCTGTGAGCCTGGCTCAGTGCTTCTCCCTGTGGGAGTGCACTGACCACCAGGGGGCAGCTCCTGCATCTGCCCCCTGCACATCATAGCAGCCTGTCGTTCTGCCGTTCGGTCAATTTGCATATTAGCCTTTTATTATAAAGGATAACCAAGATCTGGAAACAGTCCAAGTGTCCATCAGTAGATAAAAAAGCTGTGGTGCATTTACATAGTGGAATACTACTATTTGGCCTTAATAATAGAAGAAAATCTTAGCTTTTGCAACAACATGGATAAACCTGGAAATTATTATGCTAAGTAAAATAAGCCAGTCAGAGAATGACAAATACCGTAAGATTTCACTTATATGTGGAATCTAATCAACAAAATAATTTAACAAACAAAATAGAAATACAAGCATAGATAACAGATTGATAGCAAATTCTGCTTCAGGTGAACTGTCATAATTTTTTGGAATCCATCAATATAAGGCAGCCTGAACTACAACAAATCAGATATTTTTTTTAAAAAAACAAGATAAAGGTAAAAAATAATAGGTTGCATGGACACTTTGGGAGAAAAGGTAATTTCTCTGCTTGAAGGAATATCTCTCCATCTGTCATTGATATGATGTTATATGATCCTATATAATAAAAGCCTAATATGCAAATTGGCCAAACGGCGGAACAATCGGTCGCTATGATGCGCACTGACCACCAGGGGACAGACGCTCAATGCAGGAGCTGCCCCCAGCCCGCAGGCTCCAGGCCTGCCAAGGTGGGTGCCAGCGGGGGCCCCCCAACCACCCCGCCGGTCGCCCCACAGATTGACTCTGATGGCTGGCTAGGCCTAGGGACACTACCCGTGCATGAATTTCGTGAACTGGGCCTCCAGTGTTTAAATATTTATACAAAATAAGGACAAAGAAGTCATGAAGTAATTATGGAATGTGAAAGTCTGCAACTACAATGGTGCTCTGCCAATTTTCCCTCACATTCTAAGATCTTCTGGGTTTATATGATAATTTTTTATGATAAATAAGATAAACATGTCTTCCTTATATATAGCTTTAATGAATACAAAATATTAACATCAATAATAATAAAAGTAGCTAATACTTACTGAGAACTTACTATGTACCAACGGCACTGTTCTAATCACTGTATTTAGATTAACTCATTTAATCTTCATATCACCCTCCCAAGAAAGGAATATGATTATCATCCCAATTTTATAAATTAGGAAACCAATTAGCAAGTGGAAAAGCAAAAATTCAAACCAAGGTACTTTTCCAAACAACAAAAACAACCCTTTGTCCAATTTAATGCCTTATCCCTTCTATTGGCACCTTGATCTCTTATTTTTCAAAAGAAAAAAAATCCTATCTTTTCATTGTTAATGAAGCTAAGTGATTTTAAATTGAGGTCAGCCTCACCTCCTCTGTAAAGCCTTACCTGTCTCCTCCCACATGAAATTTCTTTAATACTTTTAAATACGTACATTAATTCCATTATCATACATCTCCTGTAACTTTTCTTTCAGGTGTTATATTTCCTTCTATATTTTAAACCTGCTGAGTTCAAAGTTAGTACAAATAGTAATTGAAAAATAACCATAGCTCATAAAATAGCTATTGAATTAAATCATATAAACCAAAGAAAATCTTCAATATGAAATTTCTGTCATCTCTGTTGACTACTACACTATAGTAGTATACAGGTGTACTTATATTTTTATACTACCCATTTTAATTAGGTTTATCATAATTCCCAGTATTAAGGTAATCTTGATTTCACATACTCCGTTAATTCCTCTGCTAAACTACCCTATTTTAGACAAGTACATTAGGATTCTATGTTGACTGTTTCTGAAAACCCAGAAGATATTAATGGCTTGTCTGTTACCGTTTGCCCCGTGGATAATGCCGCACATATTCCCCAACATCATGAGCAGCAACAGCTAAGACTTGTGGATCATCTGATACTTCCAGAAGTTTTGTCAAAATTCTGAAATAAATTCAATGCAAAAAGATATCAATTTTTGATTCTTCTATAGAGCACAACAGAGCACAGGTATAACAAGGATATCTTCCCAAAAATAAACATTTTGTTCAAAATATGTATGAATCTATGAAGCTTGCTTACTTAGTTTCTGAAGCATCACTTAAGACTGTGGCTCAAGGTTTCTCTGCCTACCTTTTTCTATCACATGTCAACCTGTCAAATAGCTAAACTCTATAAACAACAGGAAGTGCTGATAAAGAACCTTTTGTCAATCCAGGAATCATTTCATTTTAAAGTAATTCCACACTTCTTCTAGGCTAAGTGGGCAATCTGCATTTCCAAATAAGAGAGGAGAAAGGAATGAGCATTTACTATACACATGCATGTTCCAAACTCTGTGTAAATCATATTCCTCACAACAATCCATAAATGAGGAAATGAGAGCCAGAGAAGTTAGGTAATCTGCTAAGGACACAGCAAATGTTGAAACTGAGATGTGAACTATTACTTGCTGACCCTAGCCCACACAAAGCACAAGCACATCCTGGTGGCAGTTCATTCAGCCCAAGCACAGGAAAACCCACTGGGGAAAAGCAAGAAATACATTCAATCTCCCACACATTTATATTTTTTAAATTTCAAACTATGTTCTTTTTAAAAGGCCAACTTGCAAATTATTCTGAAATTAAGTTTAATTCAACTGAAACAACTCAAATGATTTCAAAAGATTAAATTATTTCAATGACATTTTACTTTGACATTTTATTAAGAAATTACTATATGAAACAGTAAGAAAATATTATTAACATGGGAGTCTTTAAAAGCACAACAGAATATCTGTTCTGAATACCTTAAACCAGAGGTCAGCAAATTAGAGCTGAAGTCCAAACTCAGCAGCGACCGTTTTATAAATAAAGTTTTATGGGAACACAGCCACACTCATTAGTTTGCTCACTGTCCATGTCTGTTTTGGCACCAGGAGGACAGAGCTGAATAGCTGGTGACAGAGACTGATTTCCCAGTTAGTCTGGAAGAAGGTGTGGAATTATTTCATAATGATAATAGGTTCTTTGTCAGTGCTTCCTGTTATTTATAGAGTTAGCTATATGACAGGCTCAGGTGATGATAGAAAAAGATAGGCAGAGAAACCTTAAGCCAGTTATTAAAAAGCTGAATCACAGACCCAGCCCTAGACTTACTTAGAATCTGCATTTTAATGAGATCTCCATAAACATTTAAAAGCATACTCTTAGAATCGTCAATAAACATGTCCAGGAAAATAAGTTCAAAAAAAAAAAAAGATTCTTGTGGTAAGCAAAAAGAGAGCTTTCTCTAATTTATCCGTGAACACAGCTATTATATCAACAATGGAATCATCACAACCCAAATCTGTATCACCACATCGACCTCAAGCGAGATTCTGTCAGTCACTCCAATGGGATCAACACAGCAACATATCACAGCTTTGGAATTAGGGCAAATGTGAATGTTGACTCTGATATTTTCTAGAAATGTAATCGTGAAAAGTGTCTATACAAATCCAAAATAGAATTCACATTATTATTCTAACTGATCACTCGCAATTTTTGCTCTTGTTCTCTTTCACAATATTTTTCCTCAATTTTACAAACTTGTTCCCTCAGCTTTTTTCTCTTAATTATAATCTATTTTAAAAGAAGAAGAAAAAAAGAAGATAAAAAATATGAATATGCCTAGCTGGAATGGCTTAGTGGTTGAGCAAAAACTTATGAACCAGGAGGTCACAGTTCGATTTCCGGTCAGGGCACATGCCCAGGTTGTGGGCCTGATCCCCAGTGTGGGGGGCATGTAGGAGGGCAGCTGATCAATGATTCTCTCTCATCATTGATGTTTCTATCTCTCTCTCCCTCTCCCTTCCTCTCTGAAATCAATAAAAATATATTTTAAAAAAATATGAACAATAAAATGGTAATAAATACACATCTATCAACAATTGAATCTAAAAATCAAAATAAACGAACAAGGTATCTCATGAACCAAATAAACTGATGAATAAAATAGAACCAGAGATATGGAAGCATGGAACAGACTGACAAATCTCAGAGGGAAGTGGGGAGGGAGGGGCGGGAAGAGATAAACCAAAGAATTTATATGCATATATGCATTACCTATGGACACAGACAATAGAGTGATGAAGGCCTGGGCTGGGGTGGGAACCAGGTGGAGGGGACAATGGGAGGAAAAATGAGGGGGACCTCTGTAATACTCTCAACAATAAAAAAAAAAATTAATTCTAAACTGCATGGTTTCTTGTATTTCAGAATATTTCCTTATTCAAATTACATACTTATTTCAAAATTATAACATACAAGATTAGAAAGTATTTTCTGAAAACTATTATACTCAAGAGTGATATCACATACTTGCTAAGTTTGGAATTACCTGAAAAATAGGTTAGAGCCTGACAAGTGCAGTTCTCCACAGATAAAATGAAGTACTGTGTTTTTTCATAGCAGAATAAAATAAAGATTCCATCTGTACCTATTTTATCAGCTAGTTTGAAGGGCAGCATGAGTATGACCCTCCTGTCAATCATCCCCATGCAGATACTTTAAGGAAATGAAAACTAAATACAAGCAACAACTTCAAATTTCTCATCACATTAGCATAAAATAAAACTATAGCGCCACATGCCATTGTTTCTGGTTATTCAGAAAAATCACAAAGTGTCATACAAAGATAAAGGAAGTAATTTAAGAAAGCCATATAAATTAAAACCTAATGTTAGAAAACAAAACATCCACTTCAAAAGGCTCTTTAAGTTTGTCATAACAAAAATGCATGTAGTGCTTCAATAATACTTTGTAAAAAGCTCCTTCCATTTGAGCTCATTTTGTTGTTGAAAACTCAAAGTGGCATGCTGAAAATATAATTCACTCCTTCCTTCTACCTATTCTCCATCAATCCTCTAACATCTACCATCCATTCACTTTGGCTTGCCACACTTTAAGTAAAAATATATTACTTGGAGTAATTCACAGAAAATAAAGTCTAAACAAAAGAAATACTCATAATATGCACATCCATAGAAACAGAAAGTAAATGAGTGGTTGCTTAGGGTTGAGTGGATGGGTTAATAGAGAGGTTATAGCTAAAGAATATGAGGTTTCTTTTGAAGTGATGAAAATGTTCTAAAATTGACTGTGTTAATGATTACATACATTGTGAATATACTAAAAACTGATTTTTATACTTTAAATGTGTGAATTATGTGGTATGTAACATATCTACACTAATAAAAGAGAAACATGGTAATTAGCGTACGACCGCTACCCTTCCCATTGGCTAATCAGCATATCCTTATATGCATTACCTATGGACACAGACAATAGAGTGATGAAGGCCTGGGCTGGGGTGGGAACCAGGTGGAGGGGACAATGGGAGGAAAAATGAGGGGGACCTCTGTAATACTCTCAACAATAAAAAAAAAAATTAATTCTAAACTGCATGGTTTCTTGTATTTCAGAATATTTCCTTATTCAAATTACATACTTATTTCAAAATTATAACATACAAGATTAGAAAGTATTTTCTGAAAACTATTATACTCAAGAGTGATAAAGGCAAAAATTAACTTATATCACATACTTGCTAAGTTTGGAATTACCTGAAAAATAGGTTAGAGCCTGACAAGTGCAGTTCTCCACAGATAAAATGAAGTACTGTGTTTTTTCATAGCAGAATAAAATAAAGATTCCATCTGTACCTATTTTATCAGCTAGTTTGAAGGGCAGCATGAGTATGACCCTCCTGTCAATCATCCCCATGCAGATACTTTAAGGAAATGAAAACTAAATACAAGCAACAACTTCAAATTTCTCATCACATTAGCATAAAATAAAACTATAGCGCCACATGCCATTGTTTCTGGTTATTCAGAAAAATCACAAAGTGTCATACAAAGATAAAGGAAGTAATTTAAGAAAGCCATATAAATTAAAACCTAATGTTAGAAAACAAAACATCCACTTCAAAAGGCTCTTTAAGTTTGTCATAACAAAAATGCATGTAGTGCTTCAATAATACTTTGTAAAAAGCTCCTTCCATTTGAGCTCATTTTGTTGTTGAAAACTCAAAGTGGCATGCTGAAAATATAATTCACTCCTTCCTTCTACCTATTCTCCATCAATCCTCTAACATCTACCATCCATTCACTTTGGCTTGCCACACTTTAAGTAAAAATATATTACTTGGAGTAATTCACAGAAAATAAAGTCTAAACAAAAGAAATACTCATAATATGCACATCCATAGAAACAGAAAGTAAATGAGTGGTTGCTTAGGGTTGAGTGGATGGGTTAATAGAGAGGTTATAGCTAAAGAATATGAGGTTTCTTTTGAAGTGATGAAAATGTTCTAAAATTGACTGTGTTAATGATTACATACATTGTGAATATACTAAAAACTACTGATTTTTATACTTTAAATGTGTGAATTATGTGGGATGTAACATATCTATATATATAAAACCCTAATATGCAAATAGACCAAACAGCGGAACAACCGAACAACTGGTCGCTATGATGTGCACTGACCACCAGGGGGCGCACACAGAACATGGCGGGTGTCAGCCACAGCAGGATGGTGGAGCAGTTGAGTGGGAGCACCAGACCAAGGCAGGGACCGGGCGCTGTCATCAGGGTGAGCCTCTGGTGGTTACTGAAAATTCTTTGCTCCTGCGCGCTGCAGTCATGCCCGGCACTCGCACTTGCTGCCGGCGCCCAGCACCAGTCCTAATCACTCGGTGCTGTCAGCGGGTGCAGCAGTAGCTGCCGGCCCCAATCGCCCCTGAGGGCTTCTCTACCTACCCCTGCTCCTGAGGGGCAATCAGGGCAGCAGCGCTGCTGGCAACAGCTGACAGCGCTGGCCCAGCTTGCACCCACTGCTGCCACTGGCCCCAATTGCTCCACACTGTCAGCAGGTGCAAGCAGGGCCAGCGCCATCTGTGCGTGGGAGCGGCAGCAGTGGGAGCAGAGGCTGTTGGCAGACACAGGACCCGGGGGCCATGGCGGGAGGGGCCAGGTGGGGGCGTGGAGGACGGGCCAAGACCCACCCCTATGCCCCCGCAGCCTCGCAGCCCACAGTTCCTTTCAAGGTGCACAAATTCATGCACTGGACCCCCAGTATCTCAATAAAAAAGAAAGAGTGGGGGGAGAAAAGAAAGGCAAACACTTGCACATCTTATTACAAGAAAGGGAACCCTCCAAGCTGTGGGGAAAATGTTACTTTCAATAAAAAGTGCTGATTCAATCAGATATCCCTGTAATGAAAAAAATGAATCTTGACCCCTACTTTATATTTTACTCAAAAAGCAATTCCATATGAAATGGAGATCTAACTATGAGAGGTTAAACAACAAAGCTTCTATCAGATAACACAGAAATATATCTTCATGACCTTAGGTATTCAAAAACGTTTTAAACAGGACACACAAAAATCACTAGCCATTAAGAAAAATATTAATAAATTGAACTACATTAAAACTAAAGAGTGAAACAGTATGTGACAAAGTAGGAAAAAATAGTTGTGATGAATATATACATAAAGAACTCATGTTCAGAATACATATACTCCTACAAATGAAAAAAAAAAAATACTTCAGGTACTTCTCCTGGAAAAAGATATACAAACTCCCAATAAGCATATGAAAAGGTATTCAACCACATTAATAAGCAAGAAAATATAAATTAAAACCATAGAATATCTAAATTTAGACTAACAGAAACATGTCTGTGAAGATGTAGAACAGGTATTAGAGTATAAACTGGAATTTAAAACTTACTTCAGGAGTTCATAATTCTTTTCATTTAACCTTACAGCATTTTCTCTCCAAAATTTCTCAGATTTGTGCACAGGACTCCATTCCAATCTTCCAGATTTAAGTTCTGAACTGTATTCATCAAATGAGCTATAAAAATTTTTAAAGAATTCAGAGTTTATATAAACTTCAGCGATCCTCCAAATTAAGCACAATAACATCTTCATTAATGATTTAACTACAAAGACTGACCATCCTTTGTAAATTAACAAAATTCCACTAAACAAAGTTTAAAGAGCTTAAATAAGCTTCATAAATCATGTGAAATTTATTCAGAGTATTCAGGTGCAGTACTATAAAATTTGAATGCTCATCATGAGATATTAAAAGGAGTACTTGCTTTCAGAATCCCTACTCTAATATATCTTCTATATATATAAAAGCCTAAGTGACTGAAAGACCAGTCAACCAGACGACTGGTCACTATGAGATGCACTGACCACTAAGGGGCAGATGCTCAATGCAGGAGCTGCCCCCTGGTGGTCAGTGCGCTGCTCAGCTGACCAACGGGCACCAGACGCTGGGCTCACGGCTGGCAAGTGCAGCTGTGGCAACACAAGCCTCTCCTGCCTCCACGGCAGCGCTACCAAGTGGTGGCAGCGGCAGGCGCATTGGGCCAGGATGAGGCGCCCAGCCCAAGCTTGGGCTCCTCCCTGGCCACCTGCCTCTTTGCGCACTACTACATCCCTCGGGGGATGTCAGACTGCCAGTTTCAGCCTGATCCCCACCCGAAACCGGCAGTCCAACATCCCCCTAGGGGTCCCAGATTGCAAGAGGGCACAGGTCAGGCTGAGGGACCCCACCAGCCCACGAATCTGTGCACCAGGCCTCTACTGTATACATAAATGTATATCAGTAAAATATCTGATAAGCTAGCAGAGTTTCTATCTTGCCACTTAAAATACTGTATCTGTGCCCTGGGTGGGTGGCTCATTCAGTTGGAACGTCATCCCATATACCAAAAGGTTGTGAGTTTGATTCTGGATCAGGGCACATACCTAGGTTGTGTGTTTGATCCCCAGTTGGGGTGTCTATGGGAGGCAACCAATGTTTCTCTCTCACATTGATGTTTCTCTCTTTCTCTCCCTTCCTTTCACACACACACATACATACTGTATTTGCCAGACCACTACATTCATTAATACAAATTTATGTAAAAGTATGTGACTTTAACATAAAATAAAATAGAATATTCTGATATTATTATACTACAAATGTCATAAACTACTATATTGCATTACAAAAACGAAAACACATATCTGTACAACTAGAGGCCCAGTGCACAAATTCGTGCACGGGTAGGGTCCCAAGCGGCTGCCAGCTGCCGGCTGCCAGTCAGGGACTCCCTACCCCGGTTGTTGGCTGCCGGCCAGGGCCTTCCTTCATTCCGCACCACCCCGTGGTGGTCAGCATACGTCATAGCAAGCGATCGAACTCCCGGTCAGTTGAACTCCCGAGGGGACACTTTGCATTTTAGGCTTTTATGTATATAGATATGCTACAATGTGATTACCAACAATGAAGAGGTAATTCTTTGGTTGAATTAACCCACTATAGATGAATTAAAAACAAAAGTCTCTGTAAATATAATAAACTGCAATGCACTTTGTAAACATCATTCACTATGTATCAAGATAATTCATTATTCAATTAGCCAGTGGACAAACACAGTGACGAGACATGCCTGCACTTTCAAGTAAAAACTTTTAAAAGAAGTGGACATTTAATACCCAATGGTGATTTAGTATAACCAGGATTTACTAAATTGATTAGAGTGTCCTGTTTGAATAAGAATGTAATCCCAGTCAGTATAAGAAGTAAACTAGTATTGTTAACAATAATGTCCTAAACCTATTAGAGCAAAAACAGAAAAAAATCTTTCAACTGCACCCATCATCCTATTAGCTTTATGTAAATAGAAAGTTTTAAAATTTCCAAATTCAACATGAAAAATCAATAAGTAATAATTAGTAATGATTGACCCATATAAGTGTCAAACACTGAACACATTTACAATTAAATCCATCACAATCCTTTCTCACAGCCTGCTCCTGAGCACACCCCAGCGAACTCTCCATTCACTGGCCACCAAGATCACTTAGGATACTAAGAAAGAATGTTTCTTAAGTATTTCTCTAGTTTCCAGTCAGTCACCTTCCCCCCAACCCCCTCCAATCAACCGATAGGTGCAGAAAGGACAGCAATAAAGAACTCTCTTGCTTGAACAATTGTCAGAAAAGTTTTGACATTCAGGCAAAGTCCCTAGTTTTTCTCCTATGATTTTTCTATTTTTAAGAGTATTTATGAAAACAGCAAAGTAATCTAGATATTTATCATTAGCAATGTACATTAAATAATTTATAAAGCTAATTATCACTAGCATTTACTTTTTAAAAGGATCACAAAGGATTTTTATAAAGAACTGATGATAAACTTTTGTAAATAATCATAATAGAATTTATAAAACTGCAAGCCTATTGCTAGCCTATTGCTATTACAATCAACTTGTTCATATTTGAAATTATAGAAAGACGAAAACCATTTGCCTCCCTCCACAAAACTCCATTACAAACCACTGATGTGGGTGATACCTCCTCTCCCATCTCTATAAAAGCATTTGGGCATTGGGATTATGGGCTGCATTGAATTACCTGGTAAATAGGTTTCTGGAAAAATTACTATACTGAAGGCACCTGCTGAACACTTGAAACCTCACAACAATCCTACAAGGTTAGAATTTTTATTGCTAATTTACCAAAAGGAAAACTGAGATGTTAAAATGTCAAGAATACTGCTCAAGGTTACATGTGGAAAAAGCAGCCAAACAATTCAAACTAGAGTCAGCCTGGCTCCCAAACCCAGTCCAACTACAGAAAAAGATGTATTTCTTAAGAGTAACTCTTTTAAAAATGTATCAATAATTAAAAAACAAACACCTGGATTAATGTGAAAGATCAACAAGATATTAAACAACAACAACAAAAAAAACAAGGTCTAGAAGGATACGTAAAACCCCGTTTGTGTGTCTGTCTCGGTGTGTGTGCGCATGTGCGGGGGTAAGGAGCATGGGAATAGGCTGGGAAGATGGTGGGAGTGGCATGGAGTCCCTTCTGTACTGTGTAAGCATTTTCCTTTTGTTTACTTCATGTAAATCATTTGCATAATGTTTAAAATAAAAAAAATAAACCAATAGGAACTTCAGAAAAGCAGGAAAAACATACTTTCCATATGTGGACAAAAATCCTCCATAAATTAACAAGCATCACTGCTCTAAAAAATTCTAAAGCAGGGAGATATTCTTCAAGGTTTCCATGATAGTGCCAACCACCTGTGGTAGTACAGTCAGTCCAATTTTAAAAAGAAAATGATGGAACTCTCCCCAAACAGCTCTGACCAACTGTTACCATGGTGATGAGCCAGTTTTTCCATATTCTCCAAATATTTAATAGAAGACATAATATTTTTAGTGAAATCTTTTGAGTTTATATTTAGTAACAAATTTAAATTTCCTTAAAATACTAATCAAGTAAAACAAAACCCAATATATCCAGTCTGTGAGAATTAAAAATAACATACCTAAGATCCTGAACACTTTCCCCAAGTTTTTCCAAAAGAAATTTTATATCTTCGCTGATGTCTTCATCATCATACTTTTGCTGTTCCAAGTTCTCCAACTGTTTCAGAACTTTGCACTGGATCATAGCCAAAGCATATTCTTGGCGAGTTTCTCTTTCAGCTGATTTTTCTAAAAAGTTCTGGGTTAGACAAAGATATAATAAGAAGCTATATAATTTGTTATGTGATATTCTCAAACTCTGCACATCCTTTTTACACTCTCTCTCCTCCTCCTCCTTCTCCTATTGACAGGTTAACTATCACCTTTAAGTGGATGACTGTATCGCAAATCCTTACTTCTTTCCTAAGCATCTGTCCATATCAGAAATGTACTTCTGATTCCTTGCTTACTTACTTGGCTTACTAAACATTTGAAATGACTGACCCATATAAGTGTCAAACACTGAACACATTTACAATTAAATCCATCACAATCCTTTCTCACAGCCTGCTCCTGAGCACACCACAACGAACTCTCCATTCACTGGCCACCAAGATCACTTAGGATACTAAGAAAGAATGTTTCTTAAGTATTTCTCTAGTTTCCAGTCAGTCACACCCCCCGCCCCTCCTCCAATCAACCGATAGGTGCAGAAAGGACAGCAATAAAGAACTCTCTTGCTTGAACAATTGTCAGAAAAGTTTTGACATTCAGGCAAAGTCCCTAGTTTTTCTCCTATGATTTTTCTATTTTTAAGAGTATTTATGAAAACAGCAAAGTAATCTAGATATTTATAAAGATCAAGTGTTCACTGAATCAACCAATATTTTTAAGCAAAGAGCATGTTCAGGCCTAGGGACAAGAAAGAACAAGCTCTCAAGAAAGCTACCCTTCACCAATTGGTAAATGCCTTCCATTAAAAAAAAAAAAAAGCCTGTAATAATTAATTCCAAATCAACTGTACTAAAATTTGAAATTTACTTATTTTTGTAAGCAAGTTATATTTCTATTAATTATGCCAAATAAACACAGAAAGAGATTTAGCTTAGCATATGGAAATTAGTGTGACTAATCCCTAACAAAATTACAACAGCATTTTTCACATATATTTGAAAAAACAATCCTAAAATTTATATGGAACCACAAAGACCTCAAATAGCCAAAGCAATCTTGGGAAAGAACAAGGAAGCTAAAGGCATCATGCTTCCAGATTTCAACCTAAACTACAAAGCTATAGTAATCAAAACTGTATGGCAATGGCATAAAACAGTCTCATAGAGTAATGGAACAGAATAGAGCACCTAGAAATAAGCCCCCACATATAGAGTCAACTAATATTTGACAAAGGAGTCAAGGATACTCCCTGGGAATAGTTCTTCAATGAATGGCACTAGGAAAACTGGATAACCACATGCAAAAAAAAAAAAAAAATGAAAGTAGACCACTATATTACACAGCTCACAATAATTCACTTAAAATTGATTAGAAACATGAAACTGTCAAACTCCTAGAAGAAAACACAGAAAAGGCTCCTGGCACTAGTCTTGACAACAATTTTTTGTTTAGGATACCAAAGTCACAGCAACAAAAGCAAAAATCAGCAAATAGAACTACATCAAACTAAAAGCTTCTACACAGCAAAACAATAAAGTGAAAAAGCATCCTACAAAATGGGAGAAAAAATCTGCAAACCATATATCTGATAAGTGGGTTAATATCCAGAATGTATAAAGAACTCATACAACCCAATAAAAAAAAAAGGCAACTAAAAAATGGGCAGAGGATCTGAATAGATATTTTTCCAAAGAAGGCATTCAGATGGCCAAAAGGCTCATTAAAAGGTGCTTGACACCATTAAGCACCAGAGAAATGCAAATCAAAAGCACAATGAGGGCCCTAACTGGTTTGGCTCAGTGGATAGAGCGCCAGCCTGTGGACTGAAGAGTCCCAGGTTCGATTCCGGTCAAGGGCACATGCCTGGGTTGCGGGTTTGATCCCCAATAGGGGACATGCAGGAGGCAGCCAATCAATGATTCTCTCTCATCATTGATATTTCTATCTCTCTTTCCCTCTCCCTTCCTCTCTGAAATCAATAAAGACTTTTTTTTAAAAGCACAATGTGGTATCACCTCACACCTGTCAGAATGGCTATCATCAAAAAGACAAGAGATAACGAGTGTTGGGGAAGATTTGGAGAAAAGGGAGTACCAATGCTCTGTTAATGGTAATGTAAACTGGTTACAGCCACTATGGAAAACAGTACAGGGGTTCCTCAAAAAATTAAAAATAGATCTACCAGTTGATACAGCAATTCCACCTCTGAGTATTTACTTGAAGAAGAGAAAAACAGTAACTTGAAAAGATAATATGCACCTTATGTTCATTGCAGTATTATTCACAATCTAAGATATGAAAACAATCTAAGTATCCATGAATAAAGAAAATTACTCAGCCATAAAAATGCAAGAAATCTTGCCATTTGCAAAAACATGGATGGACCTTTAGGGCATTATTCTAAGTGAAATAAGTCAGGCAGAGAAAAACAAATGCTGTATGATCTCACTTATATGTGGAACCTAAAAACAAAACAAAAAATTTAAAAAAATGAACTCATAGGTATAAAAAACAGATTGATAATTGCAAGAAGAAGGAAGTGAGAAGTGAGTGAAATGGGTGAAGGTGGTTAAAAAGGTACAAACTTCCAATTATAAAATAAATAAGTTCTGTGGATGTAATGTACAGCATGGTAACGATAGTCAATTATACTGTACTAGAGGCCCAATGCACAAAATTCATGCAAGGGGCTCAGCCCTCACAGCTTCGGCTTCGTCCAGAAGGTCGTCTGGAAGGATGGTCGGCTGTCTGGTCTAATTAGCATATTAATATTTTATTATTATAGATTGTATATTTGAATGTTGCTAAGAAGGGCAAAACTCCTTATTCTTACCCTCCACCTCTCTCATGTTACCTTTACTCCTGTATATTATGATCACTGCCTTGCATTACTGATCATGACATTATATATTTACATATTCTGTCTTCACTAAACAACAAGCCCTTATGTGTCAAGCTGTATCTTGGGCATTTGTGTTTCTTAACAATTAGCATAATGGAGCTGGAATATAAATGGGATTCAAAACTTGTTTGTGAATTTAACTGAACTCTAGCAATAGAAGGAAACTGTCAAAAGATCCTATTTCTAGAATTTCACCTTTATTAAATAAATGAGAATATGGATAATGAAACATTCAAGTAGAAGAAAAAATATGTTCACCTTAACTACTAAAAGACTTCAGAGTCTCATTAATACAACCTACTCTGATTTAAGGATTGATTACTGCTTTATCTGGTCGAGACTGAAATTTACCTCATGTAGACAGTTTGTAAAGAAACTAATGGCAGAGCCAATACACTGCGGCAGAAGAGTAGAGAGGTACCACATTTACCTATTTCTTAAGAATAAACCTCTCAAAAGCCACAGAACAATTTTTTATATGAAAAAATATTACATTTTATAAATAAGGATAGTCAAAAACAAATATAATACATAGAACAACACTTGGTCAACAGATGACTGGCATTTATCATATCTAGACATTCACACTTTCATTTCATTTTCCACTCTTTCAATGAAATTTACACTGAACTTCACTCCTCAATGCCTTTAGTCACTCATTCAACCCTTGTTAGGCAACTAGGAAAAACATGGAGTTTTCACAGATGCTTTCACAGCTGGTATTTTCAGCAAAGAAAACGGAATTCCTTGTCACATGACTCATAATTCTCCTTTTCATGTTTTTTTCTCCTTTTCTGAGGTTCCTGAGAAAATGCCCCAAGAAAAGAAAAAAGAAGATGCCAGAGTGGTTAAGAAGATGGCTTTGGAGCCAGACATATCTCACTGAAATTCTATCACTTAGTAACTGAGGAATTAATCTCCAAGTCTTGGTTTCTTCATGCATAAAATAAAAAATAGTAATAGCACGTATTGGATTATCATAAAGATTAAATTAGGCATTGCATAAAAATCACTCAATAAATTATAACATTTATTATTCTCAATATCAAAGACAGGTTAGCATAGTGGCTAAGAGCATGAGTCAGACTGCCTGAGTCTGAATTCCAGCTCTGCTGCTTTCTGGCTAGTTTGGCAAATTATGTGACCGCTTGTGGCCTCATGCCCATTGCACGGAGCTCTTGGGGAGACTGAATGCGTAACACATTTAAAGCAATTAAAACAGTGCCTGACACAGAATAAACTCTCAATAAACATTAGTTATTACTATTATTATTAACTACAAACATCTAGAAAAGTTATTACACATCATATTTTAAAAATTAAAATGTGACAAATGCTATGAATTAGCAATTTATAGGAGGAATATAAATGCCTGATTAAAATATTAAAAGATGTTCAGCTTCACTCATTAACAGAATACAAATTTAAAACAATAATATCATTTTTTCACCTAATTTTTGTAACAACTGAAAGATTATATGAAATGCAAGGAAAAGAATGGAAAAACATGCATTCCCAATACATAGTTGAAAAAAATGCAAATTTGCACATTTTTGAAAGGTGATTTAATATTATCTATCAAAACTGTAGAAAAGTATACTCTTTGGCTCAGCAATTCCATCTCTAGAACAATATCCAACAGAAATTCTCATCAAAGCAGGCAAACATATGTAGAAAAACCCTACATACCCATCAACAGAACACTGGTTAAATAAACTGCTTTACATCAACACAGCAGAATATAGCCATTAAAAAGAAAACTGAAGATGTACACATATAAAAATGAAAACATACTCATTAGATATTGTTAAGAGTAAAGTTATAGAATAGTATTTATCATAAGATGACATTTTTATTTTTAAATACAAAACAAAATTACACACCTATTTATATATTTATTTCTACATGCTTAGCAAAATTAGGAAGATATTAGTGATATTAGTTAAAAACAGATTCTGAAGCAATAGCTTGGATTTGCATGTCTACCACATATTTTATAGTTGCCTCAGAAATACTGCTAGTCAGTAGATCCAAAATCTGAAATACAATTCCATACCACAATAAGGGTTCCATAAGAGAAAAGCCTCAATCATAGTCTCTTAGAAAAAACTGCAACAACAACAAAGACTTCCTTTTTTTATTGAGTTTATTGGGGTGATATTGAGTGCACAACTCAACAAAACATCTGCACACTGCATCATGCATCCATTGCCCAAAGTAAAGTCTCTTTCTGTTCCCCTTTATTCCCCTTTACCCTTTTCCACCTCCCACACCCCTTTCTCTCTGGTTAGGCAATCACTATACTGTTGTCTGTATCTATGTGTTATATATTTTTAAAAAGGGACTTCCTCTATCTAAGTTCAATGCTATTACATTTTCTTACAAGCATTATATAACTCATACATTTCATCCATTTAAATGGTTTCCTCCCACCTGTCCCATTCCCCCATGGCATAAATACAAATTAGTGGGGTTTTTTTTTTTATTCTATGTCCACCAAGATACCATAGTTTCATAACTACATGAAGAACAAGTAAGTTTTTCCAACCTGCTAAAAGCCCTGGAACATACTCCACGGTGAAAATGCCACACACACACATGCACCATAAAAAAATGCCACAAAACACTTACACGGAATGCTGCAAGGATGATTCTTGTCACTTTCTCTTTGACAGATTCTTGCAGGATATCAGATAGAACAGGAATGATATTATAGCGCCGCAGGTGCTCACACATTTGAGGACTGAACGCCAGGAGCCATATTGAAAAAATCATTTGATACTGGAGTTGAAAGCCACATTTGTTGCTCAAAACTCCCATTATGCTGAAAAGGAACACACATTAAAACATTTAATATGACAGTGTAACAAGAAAGAAATAATGGACTATTCTTTTTGTACTAATGGAACAAAAGTATGTCCTCAGTATCTTTTCTGCGAGCAATAACAAGCAAGCTTGATTCCTACTCGGAGAGGATCATTTGCAGCACAGCTTCAGTTAAGTCTCTCCAAAAGTTACAGGACTGCAGGGAAGCAATGAGAAAGGACACACCAACTTGTAATACAACAGCAGGAAGGGTAAAAAGAATCTGACAGACATTAAAAAAGCTAAAATCAACAGGATTGGTGACACAATGGATGTACATCTTGGTGAAGTCAGATGTTATATCAAGATTTGAGTCTGGATGACCAAGAGGATCATGTATAGCTTTAAAAATATTTAGGAAACTCAGAAAGAAAAGAAGGAATTAGCTTGGCAAAAAACCCACTATGAGTCTAAATTTGACACAGCCAGTCACTGAATTGGGGGGTTAGAACTTCAGAAGCTTCTAGTTCAACCTCCTATTTTACTGACATGAAAATTTGGAAAGCTAAATGGAAATGAAAGAGGTTACACCAAGAAAGACCACTAAGGTAATTTCCAAGGGGAATCCCTCATTCTCACAAGGAGGAACAGAAACCATCAAATTAGGCCAATAAAGAATGACCAGAATGTACAACACAAAGAATGAGTTCTAATGTAAACTACTGACCATGGTTAATAAGAATAGGTCATTATTGGTTCACCAATTAAAACAAATGTAGCAAGCTAACACAAGATGTTAAAATAGGGAAAACTATGGAAGGACAGGTATATATGGGAACTCTCTGCACTTTCAATTTTTCTGTCAATCTAAAACTGCTCTAAAAAATAAAAGTCTATTAATATAAATAAATTGTAAATTTAATTTTATAATCTATTACTACTAACTTACTGGAAGGTTCATATTTGCACCATTTCTCCATTTCTGTTATTTGTAAGCAGTTATAAATTGCTGAATTGCCTTTCATTTTCTCATGCATGATTCCTCCCTTGAGTCTTTTCTATTTTGGTTATTTAAGACCTGCATTTATTTAATATTAATATCAGTATTTCAACAGCTGTAAAATCATGCAATTTTATTCTATTAACACCCTAATATCTGGTTTCCTTTTCTCTCTGATTCTTCCAGTTATTAAGGTAAGCCTTCTACACTTTGTGATACTGTGGCTGAGACTTTAAGCCACATTTCTTCTTTACCAGCTGGTTCTGCCAGTAGAAGGTGCTAGAGGCTGACTACAGGATGGAGGAAGAAGGGAGTGTCTCCTGTTGGCTTCCTATTCTTGTGAATATTACTCAGCAGCATTTCTTCACCCTGTAGCAACTGTTCTTTCCCATGGCAGCAGCTGAATTCATTTAGCAACAGCTCGGGCAGAACAAGCCTCACTGAGCACCCTCAGAGACAGCAACAACTGTCTGGATCCCCGACCTATGAGTCCTCTGCTTTGAGCTCAGGGGAACAAGCCTCAGATGAGTAGTACATCCCCCTCTATGGTCAAATGGGAGCTTCATTTGCCCCTCCTTGAAACATGTAAATTTAGTTATTACAACCTCTTACCTTTGTTCCCCAGCTTTAGGCGTATCTGCACTTGCTACCTTTCTGACTCTTGAGAGTCCTTTTATGTGCTTGTTTTCAGAAACCTATTTAACAAATGTATACCTAGTTAACACTTCTTCATATTGAATTACCTCTATTAAAATAAAAAATTTTAAATGAACAGAGGGGTTAAGGAGAGCTCAGGGCCAACAATACACTGTTGCTGAAAGCAAGACAGAAAGGTTTTAAAGGAGGCATGGTCAACAAAGATGAGCACTGCAAACAAGTTGAAGAGAGTTTAAAATTGTCTACAACATACATAATTCTGTTGAAAAGAGAAGTCTTCTATATCCAAACATTAACCACAAGAAATACCCTAATGAAGCAACATAAAGCTCTTGTTCACCAAAATACGGAAGGGGTTCCTTTAGGAGCAAGAGCCCTGACTGAATACAGTGGAGCATGAAGTGCATACTAAGGAGATGCAAAGGACACAAAGGCCCAAAGAAACCTAAACATAGTAATTTAACAAATACGTGGCATCAGACAGAGGGAACGAGGGCAACTCTGTCTTCCTGGGAGGCTGATACCGCACCTTCCCAGTGAATGAGCGCTATTGTTAGCAGCCCAGCCTGAGCAGTTGGCTCAGGACTCTGACTGCTGGGTTAGACAGCCGTGGGCAAACTACGGCCCGCGGCCCGGATCCAGCCCGTTTGAAATGAATAAAACTAAAAAAAAAAAAAGACCGTACCCTTTTATGTAATGATGTTTACTTTGAATTTATATTAGTTCACACAAACACTCCATCCATACTTTTGTTCCGGCCCTCCGGTCCAGTTTAAGAACCCATTGTGGCCCTCGAGTCAAAAAGTTTGCCCACCCCTGGTAGCAGCAAGGGGGAGTGGTGCAGGTTTGGGATTTGGGCCCACACTGTAGAGTGTGGAACACACACAAAGTTGGCTGAACCTGCTCCTGCAGAGGAGACTGCAGGCTGTACTCAACCCAAACCTGCAGCCAGCCCCCTTCGGGGGGATTCGAGTTGGAGTCTCTGGCAGAAAATGAGGAGTTTGGCTTTGAAGCACAGAGTAGTTCACCCTCATGGAGTGCCTGACTGCGTAATCTCTAAGCAGGGCACCAACTAGCCTGAGCTAGACTAGCCTGGATCCATCCTATAGACTCTCTTCGGAAGGCTCAGGAGGAAGACCAGGCAACCTTAAGGGGGAAGCAGAGGAGCTGACAGGTGGAGACTGACCTCAGGGAGCCTCGGCCCAACCACAAATCTACCCCTAGCTCTAAGCTAAAAGAAGCCAACCCAAATTGGAAAGGAGGAAGTAAAACTGTCATTATTTCCAGATGACATAATATTATACATAGAAAACCCTAAAGACTCTACCAAAAAACTACTGGATATAATCAATGAATTCAGCAAAGCTGCAGGATACAAAATCAATATCTCAAAATCAATGGCATTTTTATACACCAATAATGAACTCTCAGAAAGAGAAATTCAAAAATCAATCCCATTTACCAATGCAACAACAACAGAAAGATACCTTGGAGTGGGTGAAGGTGGGCAAAGGGGGGCAAAAGGCAAGACACCTGCAATAATGTCAACATTAAAAAATTTTAATATAAATAAAGTCTTAACATAAATGACCAACAATAAAAAATGCTTAAATTGTGGGGGAGGGGATGGGAGGGGGGACTGCCGTTTTGTGCCTTTTATTCTCTCTTACCAGTCTTCCAAAGGGGGAAAAAAATAGTATCTACTTTTCGTTTAATAGAATTAAATTCAATTTATTTTGCTATTACCACGCAGGTCTTTGAAACCTAAGATACAGTATGGGAGATTAGTGCTTTTATGTTGTCTATAATTTGAAGATTTACTCTATTTCATCATCCTAGACAATATTTGATAAATATTCATTTATTATTCCAAACTACTGCTAAAAACAATTAACAGCTAAAATTATAAGAAAACTGAAGAATGAAATCACCTTGGAAAATAATATCAATAGTGAGATAAAAATTATCCTTTCTAATGTATTGGCAAAATATTGCATCATTTTTTTAAAAAGATAAACAGACTGAAAACATCATCATTTTTGTCTACCTTTATTAACATCATCGTCCTGTGACTGCTATCCTTAAAAAGGTCTGCCTACAAAACTAGCTGGCCCTTGGCTGGCTTCTGGGAACTTGATGGTAAACAGTTCCCTACATGACACAAAACTTCTCCTAAATGATAAGGGTGGCTCACTGTACCTAAAATGTTTTCACTAACAATCTGTTTACTATAGGCTGACACAGCACCAGGATTGTTCAGTCAACTTTTCTTACTCTGAAGCCTTGTTCACTAAGCAACCTTCTGTTGATAAACTAGCTTCCTATATAGGTTTTTCCAACGTGTGACAGAAACAATGTCTTCACTAACTTAAAAGAGTATTTGGTTTAAGAACAGTGAATTGTCTCACTATGAATAAATAAATTGGCGTTCTGGTAGTAAAAGGATTTCATTTGTGTGTTTTGGGGGGAGGGGGGCGGTTGAGGGGTTCTTTGTAAAAATACATTTGTTAAACCTGAGAAAGTTCCTCAAAGTTTCTGGACCTGCAAATGAGGACCCCACAAAAAATGGACTAACTGTATAGCATTACAAAGAATGGCTTATATTCACTCTTTTCTGCATAAGACCTTTTATTAGTGATTTTTGCCTGCATTTACCACAAGATACCTTTATGATTGCTTTTCTATTCTGAGTGCCTGGAATTTGTTCTATCAAGATAAGGTTTTTAGGAGTCCTTAACCTCTTATAATAGCACAGACCAAGCAAGGGAAAGGTGAAACATTCCATCTGGTAGTTATTAGTTATTGATTTCTCTGAAGGTTAGCATAATTCACTGTTAAACAGACATAAAAAAAAGTTAAATACTTCTTTTGGATGATTAATACTATTAATTTCTTTGCAAATGTCAAGGATAGATGCTTTTAAATGTTATTCTACATTAAAAGTAAAAGAGCACTCACCAGTTTACCCCATCTGCTTCTACCCAGGCAAAGCGGTACTCATTGACCCGAAGCATCAGCTGCAGACACCCGGCAACACACTGCACATACTGAGAGCTCTACGCAAGGAGAAGTACAAGGTTTTAAGACTGGGAAAGCATTGAAAGCCATGAGACCATGCACATACAAAAAGTCTGGATTTTTTTTTTTTTTACCAGAGTTTCTTACCATTGGAACATTCAAAATCCCCTAATATTTTTTCAAAAGTCAATCCACATTTTTGCATTTCTCTCTGCCTTTTAGAAATAAAGCTGATCTTCTCTGCCAAATTCTACACAGGTCAAGACTACTTAATATACATACATAGAGAAATGGAGGAATATAGTAATTATATCTTTGGTATGGTTTGATAATTACTTTGCAATGTTTCATTTCCCAAGAATAGAGGCACTATATGGAGAATACTACTCTTCATAATTAGAGAAAGACCAAAAAACAATAAAATTAAAAAGATAAAAGTGTATACTTTGAGACAGACCCATATTTGAATGATCTTCGTCAAGTTACTGAACTTTTTTTTTTTTTAATTCTCACCCGAGGATATTTTTCCATTGATTTTGAGAGTGGAAGAGAGAGGGGAAAAGACAGAGAGAAACACATCAATAGGTTGCCTCCTAAGGAGGAGCCTGCAACCGAGGTACGTGCCCTTGACTGGAATTGAACCTGGGACCCTTTGGTCCACAGGCCAACGCTTTATCCACTGAGCCAAACCACCTAGGGCTACTGAACCTTTTCAATACTTGGTTTCTTCATCCTTAAAGAGGATGCCTACTCCAAGCACCTGAGAAAGTATTGTTAGAACTAATAAAGTAATTCATTTAGCATACAGCTAGACATTTCATAGAAACGCAATAAACAAGAACCTTAAAAAAAAACTATACAGCATATAAAAAGTCTAATTAAACACTTGAAAAAGACTCTATAATTTTTAAAAGCTGTTAGTTCAAAAGCAATGTCTTAGAGAAATTGTGGTTAAATCTGAAACTACAAATGAACAGGTATAATATTCCCAGGAATATATAGGCTCCTCCATTTTAGCAAAGCTAGTAGTGACATCTGGCTTGGGCTCTACTCTACATATTTACCGTGAGCCTTACATCTATAAGAAATGAAGAGACAAGAGATAATTTCAGATTCTAGCTTTAAAGAACATGCTAATAAATAATTTTTAAAAAGAAGAAAAGGAAGGAGAGACTCATGGATGTTCTATAAATTCACTATTACACTAATTCACAGTGTTTTAACTTAAACAACATTTGTTAAAACCCAACACTTCAAAGAAATTCCAGGCACTCAAATACAAAAACATAATGATAAAAGTATATTTGACAGATTAATCAAAAGTTAACAGAAAAGGTTATCTTAAATTTTTACCTAGCAAGTAGTGAACATAGTTGCCCAAAAGTACAATATACCCAGTAACACATTGTATGCGGGAAACGTATTTATACGTTTCGGAATTTTTACATATTTTATTACTTTTATTTCAATTTCCAGTGATTTTTCCAGTATTTGTCTGTTTAAAATTTAAGAAAAATAATTCAGTATACATTTTATAGTAAATCACAAAAAGTTTCATTGAAAAAAAATATGCAAAACTAAAGTTATCGTAATTTTACTGAACGTTGCCATTTGCGCAAAAAATTAGCAAAAATGGCCCACGCCACCTGTTAGCGCGCAATAAAAACTACCCACAAACAATGTGGTAATATAATTTGTCTGAAAACCAAGACATTAGCAGAAATCAATGACCAAAATAATAGTGCATCTTCAGTTCTAAAACAATATTCCCTAATGGGAAAAAAAATGTTTATCTTCCAATTAAGTAAGCAGGTAGTAATCTTCTGTGAAAGAGGAATTCCACCTTTCTTATTTAGAGAAACAGACTTAGCAAGGTTTCTACATATCCTCAATTAAAAGGCAACTTAAGGTATTCTCTCCTCTTCCATTTAGCAACAATTCCTCTCAACACAAAAACTTCTTCGTTCATTGTATGTCTTTCTTTTCTGTGTCCATTTACCATACTTTTTGAAATACATGACACATTTCAAATACGGACTCTTTGTTGTTATGTATAGCTTCAGGATTCATATTATAAATGAACATATAAAAGACACTGGTTCTAAAACTATGCTCTCTCCTATTATACATTATGAAGTAATCCAAATACCATTCTAGAAATTACTTTCAAAGGATATAGTGATGACAACACTGGTAAATGACTGAATTATTGCCTTCAATTAAACTAAGTAAATTGTATCACTTCTTTGTCTTTCACTTATATTGTCCCAGTAATCTCATGTATAAACTATTCAATATTTTTAAAGAAAGTAAATCAGCCTTCAATCAATCTAACCTGTCACCATCTCTAATACTACACAACGGTAATATGATACTGCTGCAGAAAATTGTATAATCATGCAAAGCATCAAGCAATTCTAGTCTGTTCTGCCACTCCCCAGAGTCTCTGCCACTTATTCACCACTATCCTCCTGTCCTAGTCTCTGCCCTCACTCTCAGCAGTAAGAGAAAAAATAGGGAACATTAGTAAGAGATTCACTCAGCTATCAACATCTCATTCTCCAAACTGAACTTCATTATACCCATTGTTACTTCTCTCTCACCTAGGAGAAGGTAGACATCTTCCTGTCCAAGACCCACTGCCCAGCAAGGTCTGTATCCCACTCCTCCCACATAATGAATGATCCATCATTCAGACCCCTCTCCTGAATCTTCACTCTCTCTGTTTGATTGGTTTCCTTTCCTCAGCTTCTAAATATACTCAATTCTTACCCATTTTTATACTCTCCTTAAATCTTGTACCAATCTCTGCATCTTTTTCTTCCCAATACATGAAGGTTTCTTGAAAGAATTATCACCTAATTTTTACCTGTCTTATATCTTATCACCCTACTTAACATGGTAAATGTTAGGATCACCATTGACCTAAACCTGAGAACCAGATTTCTATCTACAACTACTTACTGGAAAGCTCTTTCCCCATTCTCCTCTCCACTTGACTTGACTCACCTGCTGCTGCAAGTCCTAAATCAAATGTTAACTCCTCCACCATGAAAGAAAGTTGCAGTGTCACAATGTTGAAGAACATAGGCTCTGGAACCAGCCTATCACACTCACCCACTTACAAGGTATGTATGAGCTTCCTACCTATAAAATGGGGATAACAGGGACAGATCTCCTGGGGTGTAGGGATATTTTCATTCGTTAATGTATGAGTTAATATCATATGATATTCAACAATTGTTGGCTGCTGCATCTACTATTGTATTCTGATTTCTCCAGGTGGAATTAATTCCTTTCATGATGTCACATATAAATCTCTATTCTTGCCCTTGGTGTGTGAGTGTGTGTGTGTGTGTGAGAGATCCCCATTACACCAGAGAGCAAAAGAGGAGTCTTTTTTAATCTCAGCATGTAGACACAGTCCCTGGTAAATAACAGCACTTTAAAAATGCTTGTTTGCTAAGTGAATAATTAAATATTTATTGTACTTGATCTTATTTTTTTCTATTTTGCCATTTGGCTTTAGAAGGAAAAAAAGGAGAACCTAACATTTTAAAATACAGGAGGGGCAAAAGTAGATTTACAGTTGTGAGTACACAAAACACAAAGTTTATTTTATTCTTGCATTATTATTAATTACTAGAGGCCTGGTGCACAGATTCGTACACCGGTGGGGTCCCTCAGCCTGGCCTGCACCCTCTCACAATCCAGGAGCCCTCAGGGGATGTCAGAGAGCCGGTTTCAGATATGCATATAAGATCTTTGGTTAATCTCTTACCACCCTCCCCCGCCCCCCTACCCGCTGAGATTCATCAGTCTGTTCCATGTTTCCATGCCTGTGCATTGTGCGTCTGCCCCCTGGTGGTCATTGTGTGTCATAGCTACCGGTCAAATGGTCACTTAGGCTTTTATATAGAGCGATTGTATTATTTTCCATATGAACAACTGTAAACCTATTTTTCCCAACCCTGTATATTTTCTCCAAGTGAAGTCATTTTTGTTTTCTGCCTAGCAAGATAATGTTTTTTTAAAAAGACAAAACATAGAAACCCCCAAATTCCATATTATCATTTCTCTTAATCTGATTTCCATGGTAATTACATATAAATGTACTACTGTCCTCCATATTGTTCAATACAGACTCTAACTTAATCTTTTCTTACTGTATTAATTTTCTTTTTGCTGGAATTTCCTATGCTATTCGCAGACATTAATTTGAAAAGTACTCTATGAAAGAGCTATAAACATTAATAGGAAATCCTGAAATCTCATAGGACTTCAAACACAGACAAACAAAACAAGAACTGAGAAGTAGAATAACAGTCTAACTTACAGGACAATATCAAGAACCACCAAACTGCCCAGCCTATGTGGCTTAGTGTTTGAGCAATGACCTATAAACCTAGAGGCCAATGTTCGATCCCAGTTGGGCATATGCCCGGGCTGCAGCCAATCAATAGTTCTCTCTCATCATTGATGTTTCTCTCTCTCTCCCCCTCTCCTTTCCTCTCTGAAATCAATTAAAAAAATATTTTTTTTAAAAAAGAACCACCAAACTGATGAGGTAGTATTTGTGGTGATGAAATATTGCACCTTCCAAACACAAAGTCACTGTACATAGCAAGCACTCAATAAATATCTCTTGAATGAATGAACAAAAAGAAATAAAACAAAGTTCAAATCTTACGCTAATACCAAAGGAATGGGGCTCTAATAGATACAGTTTGATAATTACAAGTTTGACAAAAAAATTTATACTGATAATAATCAATACTGCAGCAATATATACAACATAGTACTATTATCCTCTTTCTTTTTGAAGCCCCAAATAAATCTGTTTTGTAATTATAAATCTTATATAATTGTTTAGTTTTTTTTTAATTTAAGTCATCTAAATTTAAGAATTTACATAAATTCTTATGTAATCAATTTTGGCTACACCTTATGCCATCCTGTTTTACTAGAATATATTTATGGTAAAAGAGTTCATTCAGCCAGATAATAGTGTCCATTTAAATTGCTAAAGTAATTCACTTATCTGGTGGGGGGAAAAAACTACCTGTATTTGGACTGACTTAACAAAAATATATACACACATAAAAATGTATTAGATAACTATTTGTCTTGTTTCCCGACTACTACTTGCTTAAATGTCATTCAACCATAGTTTTTCTTTGATGTAAAATTTTTCTGTTTTTTTTAATAATCAAATTGAGTCTTATAATCCTCAATAACTAACCAAAACACTGTCTAAACAAGAAAAAAAAAGAATTTCTTTTTATAAAAACAATTAACATGTATATGATATTTTTCAGCATACTTTCAAACAAATTAAAAACTAAAATTTTTAATAAAGAACAAAAGGGAAATATTATGATACCCCCCCCCTTTTTTTTAGATGAGGAACCCAAGGCTTAAAAGGTGATGTAATTTGCTGAAATTAAAATAGTGAGCTAATCTTGCATGGGCAATAGGAATCCACTCTCTTCATGCTTGAGCAGGAGCTCTCCGGGTTGCGCCAGACATCCTGGGTTTGAGAACTGGCCACCACATGCACCCTTTTCAGCAAACTCCAATGGTAGAAAAAAACTATTTCTATTTCTCAGTACATTTAAGAAAATATCATTTGGGTAAACTTTCCAGTGTTGCTGGAAATGCAAACTCTCCTATATTACAGTGGAATAACCACTTCATAGGGAAAATAGCAACTGACAGAATTCACCTTCCTGGTGAATATGGTCTCAGAGAACCATACTCTACAGAATTACAAGGGAATTCAAGAATTAAGGAATTACAAAGTTGGCAGGCAACAAAAGATAAACATAAAAACTTCAGTGACTTTGTACCAAAGGAAAACTAACGTTACAAAAATGTTTCAATGCTCATCTCCATAATGCTGGGATTTAAGTACAAACTAAATAAGAAAGAGTAAAGATAATATTCATCTAAATTTTGGAATTGTGGGCACTTGAAGAAATAAGTCTACACTGCAGTAAAAGACATCTGTCCCACAGAGAATGAATATGCACAGTATAGTGGTATCAGTGAAGCTCAAAATTGAACTTTTAAAACACTTAATTTACTAAAATAAATTCCAAAAGCCAGTTTTACATGAAATGGAGGACTGCTAATTAACAGTCCCTAACATATTTAATGTTTCACGACTACTAAAGGAATCTCTTCTTGTGGAACTAAAAAGTGAGTGTGCACACATGTTTGTGTGACCTTTGCTTCTATCATTCACCTTAAAAAATAATAGGACAATATCAAGTGTCAGTAAGAAATGGGACAACTGGAATGCTCATACTTTGTTCATGGATAAGTAAATTGGTTTCGTAAACTGATTGGCAATATCTACAAAATTTACAAATAACCCAGCAATTCCATTCTAGAACTAAGTGCTCCAGACCATCTAC